TTCGTTGATGCGCATTTTGTTCTCTTCATCAAACTTTCCTGCGTAAATTCTCAAATTCATTTCATCTTCTTTCCATAAAAACAGAGAAAATTTTCACGACTTTTGTTAACAAACAAAAAAATGTTTTTGTTCCGTTATTATTCCATCGTGATGAAACTTCGCTGCAGAATGAAACGTTTCTTTGTTTTTTAAATTTCCTTCTGCCATTGTTTCGTTTGTGTTTTCTTTTCGTGTGGTTCTCGAAACGGGTTCCCGAATTTTTTTTGTTTCGTTGAATTTTTTCGCTCATAAATCATTAATTATCATTTTCGTCATTTTTACCATCTTCAATAGTACTGTCACTTTTTCGCTCCAAACAAATAGGTTGTCGTTGTTGTTGGAACAATGATCGTTTCGTTGAGAAGGTCATCAAAAGTTTAAGAAGCGTTTACTTCAATCGTTATCAATTTAAAATTTTCGATGTCTATTTCAAATAATTCCAATTTTTCCGATTTCAGACCAAAATTTACATTGAAAATTGCGGAATTGCACTCACATCAAATCAAACGCTTGATGTGAAAGCAAACCTTTCAAATCTTTCTAAATGTAAGTTACAAAGTTTCGAGAAACCGTGGAAGAAGCTCTATTTGATTAAAAGCTACACTCTGATCTTACGAGTGGTCCTGCTGCTAGACTTTATAAGTTTGAGGTAGTGAGGAATTATTGTATACTCTGTAGCATCCATCCATCTTCTGTCTGTTTATAGCCATTTGTACTTGCCCACTAGGGCAACCTGCTGAATGCGTTGCCCAAGCAAACCTAATCGCCGGAGTCTCTTTCTCAACCACCTTAGCGACGACTGTCTATTATTATGACAGGTGCATGAGGTTGAAACTCCAACGGTTACACTAAGTAAACGGCTCCTCAATTGAATTCTGCAGGTTGTCTCCTCTAAAGATTGTTGCGAAACGAGCGATGTTTTTTTTTGTTGTTGTTATATTTGTTGATAATCACTATCATAATTATCATCCAATCGTCCTCATTATTTGTTCGTGCCGGTTTCCTCATCATCAATAGTTGATGCTCTACAGTTGAATTTTTATTAAATTTGCGTGTTTCGCTTCATCAATCCATTGATTGTGTTGTATAAAGAATTGATTCATATACGGTATCCGAGTTTTATTGCACACCAGCAAATTTCCATTCCATTTGAACGAGTGTAGCAAACGGAAAGGCTTTCACCGTTGCTTTTTAGTGCCATAAGGCAGTGGTTCTCAATGCAGTGATAGGAATGAATCAGTAAACTCATTCAGTGGTCAAAAAGCCTCACATCGACAAGGAACGAACTCCTTGCTGGTATCAAGGAGTGAATTCAATTTCATGTAATCAGTTAAACATTTAATGTAATTCTGGGAAGCACTAGCGAAAAATAACCGAGGTATCTTGATGAAGAAAATCAATCAGTATCAAGTGAGTGACCCTCACAACTGACATATTCAAATTTATCTCCTCATAGGAGAATAAACCACTGACTGATTTAAATGTTGCAATCTCGTCAAGAACAAAAATTAATTCAGTATTAATGACAACCATATCATTAATAATGCATTCGAATGGTAAAGTAATTGAAGAAGTTCCTCCCGATCCATAGTTCGTTTAATAGATTGAGACTGTATGATGTTATGTTATTTTACCAACACAAAGCAATGGGTTTGTACAGTTTTATCGAGAATAATCATAATATTACCAATATTTCATTACATCTCTCGAATTCCACTATGATGACAGTACATAATAACGTTCCAATTGAAAAGGCACGTAGCATCTTCTGTCGTCAATTTTTCTGTCAATGTTCCTGACGGATCACAGAGTCGTAGGCATCTGCTCCCAACCTGAACGTTTTGCAATGATCATTCTAAAGTGACCATTGATTCGAATGATTGCTGTTTATTTGATCATTCTAAGGTCTGTTTCCACTCTAAACTCCACTATTTTGATCACTAAGTATCAACTGTAACCTACTTTAGCTGACATGTTCAAGCAAAAAATGCTGGCGACGATCATCCAACAAATTAACTGATTTGTGTAACTAAACCTATACGAGACACCAGCGGATTTATGGAATCTAGATTACAAATCTTTTCGGTCAATCCAAACCTGTAATTGTGGAGCATTTAGACCCAAATCAGCACAACACTTGCGATTGTCTCGATTCTGTGAAGCACAATACAATATTCCGGACATGTACTTCAAATTGCACTTGCTCTGGGAAATCATCTCGACCAGCTGAAACAAACGGCATAGCATAGATAAGCTTTTATGATCTGTGTAAACTTGATCAATCGATTACACTGAAAGCAAACTTTAATCTCGAAACACTGCTCTCGATCTAAACTCATTTGCAGTTGTGATGGTATCCGTTCTGATGGCGTGTATTATCAAATAGTATCACTTTATCATATTATCATGCTAACTTATTGTTAAGTCTTCTCGATCGTGTCATATTAGCGCAATCGTGAAGCAGTCATTTAGGTTTAAACAAGCAAAATTCATCTTCAGTTCAGCTTACCATCGCTCGAGATTTCTTTTGGTCAGTTTCGTAAACACACATCGAATGACATTCGGGTGGTAGGTAGAGTTCACAACAGGATGCAAACAGCCTATTGGCCACTGCTTTACTTGTGCACGGCTCATAGTTTGTCTCTTCGGTACCACATTTGGGCTGAAATTGATGGAGCTGACAGCGTGAAATAGGTCGATGAAACTGTTGTTGGAAATCGAGTGTTGCCCAAAATGGTTATGCACGGTCAAGATCGCAACCAAGTTACGAACGAAGTGGGCAAACTGCGAGAAATTCAGCTTACGGGAGGACGACGTGCCGGTTTTGAGGCTGGTGAGCGTCTCACATCAGCGCTGATTGGTGGACTGATCGATCTGGAGAACATTAGGGTTTTTCGGTCAGGACAATGCAACATCACGTATTTGTAGCAGTGATTCGGCACACAGTTTGGTGTCCAGCGCATTCGACAACATTCTTTTGTTGGGATGTATGGGCAAGGCGCAATCTGGAACTATATCACCCTTGGAGACGAGAAAATTGAATACGCCAATGCAGTGGAATCAGTTGCTGATATATGTTATGAGAAGAACCATT